CGACGGGGCAGAATGGAGGAGGAGAGAAGGAGGAGAGCTCTCCGCCCAGCGCTGGAAAAAGGTAAGTTTAAACCCCTTTCCCCCTTCCAGAGCCGGGCGGGAGGGTGTCCCTGAGGGTGGGGGCACCCTCAGGGCACTATAGTGCCAGGAAAACGAGTATCTTTTCCTGGCACTATAGTGGTCCTTTAAAGGCGTGAAAGAAAAATATTTACATGAAATTGAGAAATCAATTACTGTTGTATATCATGCAGCTACTAAATGTTATCTGAAGGAGGAAACATAATTAGAAGCTATGCTTTGACCTATGAGATCCTGACCTGCTGCATTAAGGGTGGAAAGGCATCATTCCTTTTAATATACTTTACATAGTTAATTTAATAAATGTAGGTAATCTGAATGAGTTGGATATCATTCATGTAGCAGTAATTCAATAATATGACAAACATTATAACCATAATATTTAGATGCTATATATACAGTATCTCACAAAAGTGAGTTCTCCCCTCAGATTTTTGTAAATATATTATATCTTTTCATCTGACAACACCGAAGAAGTGACACTCTGCTTCAATGTAAAGTAGTAAGTGTACAGCTTGTATGTGGCAAAAGTGACCTCGCCACTGGTTTTTGGAGGGGCCTGTTTGACAGCCTTCTACCCTGTGACTATGGCCCCTGTGATAAAACTTGGTTTAAATCACTGTTTGTGACTTTTTGGATTTTTATGGCCACAGTTCGAACTTTCGAAGTGGCACATCAAACATGTGACGGTGGCCATCTTGTTCGCATGGACCAAAACCGCGGATAGACTTCAGGGGGACATAGCCACGAATGCCCTGGAACTATTTTCAGCCTAAAAACCTTGCGGTTCCCGGTCGATCCTCCAGTGGCACTTAGCCGCGATTCTTTGGAACTGTTTTGGGCATGGGACCATGCCTGCTCTTGGCAAAACTATGACTTCCATAACATTTCTGTACCCCTGGTCTGATCTGCGTGATTTTTGTATATGTTGTTCACCCAGCTCAGGGCTATCAGGGGATGTAACATGTTGTGTTTTGGGGTACTTATGGGACTTTATAAAAAAAAATTTTTTTTTTGCCTGGAGATAATTGAGTTACATACAGTACTTTACTCAATTATCACACAGGCCGAGGGGAGGGATCGCATGTTTGTTATGGGAGTGTTGTAAAATTAATTTCTGTTCTTATTGGTTTGTAAGCTTTGTGTCCCTGTCCCCAACAAGGTCCATGTGGGCGTATCCCTTGCTTGGGGACTTGCATAAAAGGCCAGTGTGGCTACCATTAAAACAGACTTAATTCACCCTCAATCTGGTCTCATCGGACCACAGGACATGGTTCCAGTAATTCATGTCCTTAGTCTGCTTGTCTTCAGCAAACTGTTTGCGGGCTTTCTTGTGCATCATCTATAGAAGAGGCTTCCTTCTGGGATGACAGCCATGCAGACCAAATTGATGCAGTGTGTGGTGTATGGTCTGAGCACTGACAGGCTTACCCTCCCCCCCACCCCTTCAACCTCTGCAGCAATGCTGGCAGCACTCGGATGTCTATTTTCCAAAGACAACCTCTGGATAGGACGCTGAGCATGTGCACTCAACTTCTTTGGTTGACCATGGCGAGGCCTGTTCTGAGTGGAACCTGTCCTGTGAAACCGCTGTATGGTCTTGCCCACCGTACAGCAGCTCAGTTTCAGGGTCTTGGCAACCTTCTTATAGCCTAGGCCATCTTTATGTAGAGCAACAATTCTTGTTCCACTTCTTTGCCATGAGGTGCCATGTTGAGCTTCCAGTGACCAGCATGAGAGAGTGTGAGAGTGATAACACCAATTTTAACACACATGCTCCCCATTCACATGACACCAGGGAGGGGAAATGGCTAATTGGGCCCAATTTGGACATTTCCACTTAGGGGTGTACACACTTTTGTTGTCAACAGTTTAGACATTAATGGCTGTGTGTGGAGTTATTTTGAGGGAACAGCAAATTTACACTATTATACAGGCTGTACACTTACAACTTTACATTGTAGCAGAGTGCCATTTCTTCAGTGTTGTCACATGAAAAGCTATAATAAAATATTTGCAAAATATGAGGGCTGTACTCACTTTTGTAAGATACTGTATGTATATATATATACACACACATGTGTATATATACACAATGTAATGTATATGTCACCCTATTGGGACACTATGGAGCTCTCCTGTAATTAATTGGTAGTAAGACCAGACTACCTCTAAGAGCGAACCTTTGAGTAAAATTGTAGAATGTAGATGAAATTTAGTTTGTCTACACTGCATATAGGGGCAGCTAAGTTGTGATGTAGTGGTTATGGTGTTTGATGTGTTACATTAAGAAACTTTATGTAAACTGTCATAAAGCATAACCTACACCATTATTCAAATAAAGCAGTCACTAGTAAAGCATTACACAACTTTTTGCAACATATTACGAGAATACAATACATGAATACTTATACTACCACAGTAAAAATCAATAATAATATGTCCTGTATGTTGTCAACCCAGCAGCTTAATGTATCCACATGTTAAAAGTTGACTAAATAGGCTTAAAATAAAGGAGTTTAGCTCTAGGAAAATTGCTAGACCTTCATATGCTCAGATTATAGTTTCTTTCCATTTTATGAATATGTTTCCCACCCTATGTGGTTAAATAATGTTCTTTTTCATCAATATCAAAGGATTAGAGGGACTGTACTACAGAAGAAGATTTGCAAAATGAGGCCAAGGACCTAAATAGTAGATTTATGGAGGGGGGAAATAATCCTGATAAACAGTAATATTGAAAGCTTTTACATGAACACAGGGCTTAAGTTTATTAATGGGTACGTAAAACAGGAAAGTGATCAGTCAAAATTCAATATTATTTTCAGAGATCTGATAAAGACTCAGGAAATCATACATGTTTCTTTTTATAGAAAAAAAAAAGTCAAATCTTAGTTTTCCAAAGGACAAAAAAAAACAGTTCTGTTTGTTAACTCACAGTGATTAAATCTAATCTCTGTGGAAGATAAAAAAAAATTCAGTAAATGATGTTAAGCATGAGCACAGAATGGAATATGACATTTTGCAAAAAAAAAAAAAAATTACTGTTTGACCCACCTCAGGCAACACTTATATCTTGAGAAAAAAAATTAACTGAAACATTTATTTCAATATGGTTGATCCCCTACTGTTCTCTATCTATACTGACTCCCTTGGTAAACTCATCAGCTTCTTTGGCTTCCATTTTCATCTATATGCAGATGAAATCTGCCTGTCCTTTCCTTAACTCTCTCCACCCATCTTGACTTGTGTCTCTGACTGCCTCTCCGCTATTCCAACAGGATTGCTTGTCACTTCCTTAAACTCAACCTGTCCAAAACAGAACTTCTGGTCTTTCCTCCCTCGAGTGTTGCTACTCCTGTGTCTGTCTCCCCCCAAGTCAATGGCACCACCATCACTTCTACCTCGCTGCCTAGGTGTTCTCTGTGACTCCAAGCTCTCCTTTACCCCTCATGTCCAGTCGATCGCCAAATCCTGCCGCTTCCATCTCAAAAACATAGCTCGCATCTGCCCTTTAACATCAGACGCAGCTAAGGTACTGGTCCATGCCGTTGTTCTTTCTCGCCTTGACTACTGTTATCCCCTTCTCAGTGGTCTTACCTTTTCCCAGGTTGCACCGCTGCAATCTATAATGAATGTGGTGGCAAGGCTCATTTTCCTGTCTGCCCGCACCTCCCACACCTTCTCCCTCTGTCAGTCCCTACACTGGCGTCATAATGCTTTCCTATGGACGCTTCCGTGCTCTCACTGTGAAAATCACAGTGAGAAGCACGCAAGCGCCTCTAGCGGCTGTCAGTGAGACAGCCACTAGAGGAAATAGGGGAAGGATTAACCCATTCATAAACATAGCAGTTTCTCTGAAACTGCTATGTTTATGAAAAAATGGGTTAACCCTAGCTGGACCAGGCACCCAGACCACTTCATTAAGCTGAAGTGGTCTGGGTGCCTAGAGTGGTCCTTTAAGTTCATGAGTATAATATTCAATAGAAACAATAAACAAGTAGCTGAGAATATTTGCAAAGCAAGAACAGTTCATAGTGAATAAGCATGATGGGAGTTGTCCTCCATATAATTAGTAGCTTGAAGCATTGAAGATTTGAGTAAGCAAGCATTAGTTCATTATTAATGATATTGTAGACAAATAGCTGAAAGATATACTTACGGTTAATATGTGTAGTCCTCCAATAGTTCAGAGATATGGTCCACTTGTAAAGTAGCAAAGTATCCGTTCTCCAGTAATCCTTTATGGCATGCAGCAATCCTTGCATTGGCTCAAAGGCTGGAACGGCTTGTCTGAGCTTGTGGAGAGGTAAGTCTGGTGGAAGTAGCTCCCAGTAGCTGAGCCTGTGGAGCTCGCGGAGGCAGCTCACACATTAGCTAACACACACTCACCAAAACCTCTCTCTCTGGCCCAGTCTCCCTAAATACCGTCAGAGCTGTGTCAGAGGGGGGCGGGGTCCGGCTCCTCACAGCTGAGTGCCGATCCCGGAAGTGTTACTCCATGACATCTTCCAACATGCAGAAAGCTGAGTCTTCTCTAGCGTAATTCCCAAAAGGAGAAGACCGTGTCCTTAATCCATTATCCTTCTTTTTTTTTACAATTTCACAGGGCAACGCAATGCATAACGATGACCAGTTTTCTTTTTAACTGGTTTGTCTTTCTCTGCTCTGTGACATGAGAAAAGACTGCACAACTTCTTCTGTTGACAGCGGGCTGGTATTTACATCCTCCAGGGCAACTGGTCCAGAAAACTGGTGATCCCGTAGCCTATTCCAATTGGCCAGTATATTATGATATTCAAATACTTTTTCATAGTTGCCAATAGAATTATACAGTTTAATGAGGCCTCCTCATACTCTATTCCACTGTATCCTTCACCAAATAGGTTTTTTTTCCCTATAGCTATTGATCGGAGATAAAGCTACTCTGCATTTTCATATTGATTCATATCATAGTTATAAAGTGATGCTAAATGACCCACAGACAATGCCACTTCATAGTCTTCTTGTCCAAAGAGTTGTTCCTTGATCTGGATAGCCTTTATGTGCATTTCTTCAGCTTCCTTAAACTTCTGCATGGATTGGTATAACCTGCCCAGGTTTCCGTATTGTTTTGCGGTTTGTACATTGAACTCGCCAAAGGCTTGCAGTGATGATAAATAAAGATCATGAGCTTCAAGAAAAAGCTTTTGACAATCTATAGCAATCTCCTCTAATATAAGTGCTTTAACCCTTTTGGAGGTTTCCAATAAAATATGGTCTTCTGGGAGTATATGAGTGATGATCTCAATGGCTCGCTCAGCATGAAATAATGCATTGTCAAACTTTCCTGAACTGTATTGATGAACATAGGAGTAGGCCAAGTCTTCATGAGCGGTTGCCACGTGGATATTTCTACCCCCAAATACTGACTATTTGATATCAAGAGCAGTCTGATATATTGCAACAGACTGGCATATGTTGTCTACATTGAGAAGATAAAATCCATAGTCTAGTAGTGTGTCTGAATACTTGGGATGCTTAGGACCAAAATTCTCTCTTGCCATATAAACGACATGTTTTATCAGCTGTTCTGCCTTCTTGAACTCTCTTTTTACCACACGAGCATTAGATGCCTGCCTTAGAACATCCACCACAACTTTTACAGGTAATCCACTTGTGATTTCCTTCATTGCTTCTATGCACCATTTATTTGCCTCGTCATAGTGGCTTTTAGCAAAGAGCAAGCCACAGAGTTCTACATACAGAGCTGCCTTGTTTACATGCTGATTGTGTTTGGCCAGCTTATCCATGTAGTTCTGAGCAAGTTTAAAGGTTTCTTCTCCCAAATGATATTTGCAGTTGCCATTTCGCACATGCAGTAGCCTGACACAACATTCTACTGCTCTGAACCAATGCAGCATTTCATTGTGAAGGGTGTGAATATGTAAACAAGAGAGAAACACCTTCTCAGCATCACTGTACCAGCCATCATCTGAAAGAATCTAACCAAGAACATAACCGATCTGTATTGCCTTTTCTTTAACCTGGGCATCAGATTCTGCAATGTAAGAATACCGCCTGCTGAACGAAAAGGCCAGCACCGAAGCAACCTTTACTCCATGGTCCATTAAAGCTTGGAAGCCAATGATGAAGCAGATGCATTTTGTATAATGCACGTAGTACCTTAGCAAAAACCTCCAATTCACAGAATTCACTTCCTAATTGGCATAAACGACCTTGCTGATAAAACTTGTAATACACGTTAAACTGGATGTTCTCGGGCAGGCTGCGGATGTCCCGCCAGGCTCAGCTGTAGTTGTCCACCACCGCAGTGATGGCTGTGTTATACAGAGTCTCCTGGATCCACTCCAGCTCCACGGCCGCCATGTTCCCGTGCTGTGCCTGGTGCTGAGCTTGGGGCCCCGCTCACAAGAAGCGGCTCCCGCAGGCATGGAGCAGGGAGAACCCGGGGCCTGTTTGATAGGACCAAGCGGAGGGCCGTGTAACATCTGAGAGCCGCCCTGCCCGCTGTCCGGCCGTGTTATTTATATTGGATTTATAGTGCACTCTCCTATTTAGTTATTGTGATTTTCATTTAACAGTGAATGCTACAAAATTTGAATTTTTTTTATTTATTTACTAGCACATTTCATGGGGCAACTTACAAGTGAGCAAACTCTTTCACTCCAGTATCAATCATGGCATTAAGACTAGAGAAATTGCCAATATAATACTGCCAGCTATGTATAAACATACTACAGTTTCTAACAAATAAAACACGGGTAGGCAACCTTCAGCATTTAAGATGTAATGAATGATATTTCCCATAATGCTCTTATAACCATAATGTTGGCAACACACCAGGGAAGGTGTAATAAACAATGTCTAGATTGCTGAAGGTTGCCAACTAGTGGTAATGACCTCCTGTCTGTCTTCTTCAATGTTCCCCTCTTTCCTACTAATGAGTCGCCCTACATAACCTATCAAAGCTAGTTCCTTTCTCTCTGTAATACATGGCATATACTGCCTCATTTCAGCCTACTTCTACCATCACAAGATTCTCAGCTACTTATATACTCTGCCCTAGTACCTCCTACTCTAACACTATTGTAGTTATAGTTATAAGAAAAGAAAGACACCTCTAATGGGTGAATTGGGAAAAACAGAAACATGCCAAAGTCAAAGACTTTTCTTGAGGGAAGTTTAGTGGAAACTTGAGGCAATATCATCAAGTAGATTTTCACCAGGTACAACTTTTGAAATAAAATTATCTATTTTGGTGAAGATGTGGGTGAACAAGGGGATAACTTTACCAAGGGTAGCAGTATCTTGGCTCTAAATATCAGTTGTATCCCTGAAAGGCCTAAGGACTGCCAGTACCTGCTCAATCATCCCTAGGACTAGTAGCTCAGCAAAGGGAATTAGGTTTTTAAAACTTGTTAAATGACACCTTCATGTCACAACTTGTACAAGCACCAACTAGAATGGATGCTTGTCTGGAACTGGTTTAAACAAACAACGTTGATCTTTTGACCAACATTCAAGTAGGTGAGCACTTGGGAAATAGTGATCACAATATAGTGTCCTTTGAAATAAACTCAAAAAAACAAAAGCACATGGGGTATACTAAAGCATATAATTTTAAAAAGGCCAATTTAAATAAGTTAAGGGAAGCTTTACAATATATTGACTGGCATAAAATCTTTAGTGAAAAGAACACTGAGGATAAATGGATAATCTTCCAACAAATATTAGAAAGGTACATTTCTCAGTATGTACCATTGGGAAATAAATATAAAAGAAACAAATTAAAACCAATGTGGCTTAGTAGAGAAGTAAAACAAGAGATTACAAATAAGAAAAGGGCATTTAAAGCATTTAAATCGGACAAATCAGATGCGTGCAAAAAGCATTTAAATCGGACAAAATAATGCGTGCAAAAAGGCAATTAGATTTGCTAAACTTCAAAATGAAAAAATTATAACTAAAGAGAGCAAAACCCACCCCAAAGCATTTTTTAAGTACATAAATTCTAAAAAAAACTAAAATGAAAGTGTAGGTACACTAAAAACTGAAACGGAGGTGTTAGTTAATGAAGACCAGGAAAAGGCAGGAATTTTAAATAACTATTTCTCCTCCGTATATTTTAAGGAAGAACCCATGGCAATAGATGTGCAAATGATTGCTACTAAAAACTTGCAGAATAATTGTAATTGGTTAACTCAAGACAAGGTGCTCCAGCAACTAAATAAAGTTAATATAAACAAAGCTCCAGGGCCTGACGGTATCTATCCACGAGTACTTAAGGAACTAAGTGTAGAAATAAGTGAACCTCTGTTTTTAATCTTTCAAGATTCTTTTCTTTCAGGAAGTGTTCCGGAGGATTGTAGGAAGGCAGATGTGGTTCCTATATTCAAAAAGGGTTCAAAATCCTTGCCTGGAAATTATAGACTTGTGAGCTTAACTTCTGTGGTTGGGAAAATATTTGAAAAGTTATTAAGGGATAATATTCAAGAATTCCTTGAGAAGAACATGGTTATCAGCAAAAATCAGCACGGTTTTATGAAGCACAGGTCATGTCAAACTAACTTGATTGCGTTCTACGAAGAAGTAAGTAGAAGTATAGATCAGGGTGTTGCCGTGGATGTGATCTTTTTGGATTTTGCCAAGGCATTTGATACAGTTCCACACAACAGATTAGTGTTCAAACTCAAGGAAATCGGTCTAGATGAAAATGCTTGTTCTTGGGTAGAACATTGGCTTAAAAACAGAGTACAAAGAGTTGTCATTAATGGTAAATTTTCAAGCTGGACAGAGGTGGCAAGTGGTGTCCCTCAGGCGTCTGTTCTAGGACCCCATCTATTTAACATGTTTATAAATGATCTTGAAGACAGCATTGAAAGTCATGTTTCAGTGTTTGCAGATGACACAAAACTCTGTAAAATAATACAATGTGAGCAAGATATTACTTTGCTGCAGAGGGATTTAGATAGACTGGGGGACTGGGCACTCAAATGGCAGATAAAATTTCATGCTGAAAAATGCAAAGTTATGCACTTCAGGATAAAAAATACACAAGCAACGTATACCCTTAACCCCTTAAGGACAGAGCTTCAGAAGCTTGTCTTTCACTTAATGACAACAGCATTTTTTGCTGTTTGCGTTCAACTGCAATTTGCATTTTACTAATTTATTGAACCGACACATATTATATATTGTTTTTTAAAGGACAGAAAGGGCTTTAATTTGATGTAACACACATATATATAAAAGCTTATTTATTATAAAAAAATACAGAAAAATAAAAAAAATGAAAAAAGAAATGAAAATTGTTGTGTTTTCTTTACAGTTTTTGCAATAATAATGTGTGCATAATTAGTGCAGGTTAAGGAAAGTAATTAAAAATAAATTCATTTAGTTGTTCTGATTTACAGAATATATAATGTGTCTGGGATTTTAAGTTTTTTTTTGGTAGTTACAGGTCACAAAGCACATGGAGTAAAATAAACTTTTAATGTGGAGCGATTTTAGAATTTGGTATGTTTGTCTTGTAAGCTTAATAGCCATAAAAGAAAACAAAATTGCCACACAAAAGTATATATTTATATAAAAGTAGACATCACAGGCTATTTACCTAGGGTTGTTTTGACACTCTCTACATTTCACCGTCAACCTCTGATAAATATTGGAGTAAAATTGTGTTTTTTTTTTGGTTTTTGGCACACAAACTTATACCAAAGAAATTCTCATGTGTATTTAGTAAAGTTGGTGTGTGCTATTCATGTTTTATTTTGTATTCAGTTACATCTGCTGAGTAAAATGACACGCCCATTGTATGTATTTGGCAAGTTACAGTGCCATATAGGAGGCCTGTTCTTTTCAGTATTCACAGTAGAATTTTGAGAGATGGATTTAATGAGCCTATGCTTCCATTTGGGGTATTATAACAGTTTGACTGTTCAAAAAAGCCCACAAAGGCCTACCATTTGTAAAAGTAGACACTCCAGGGTATCTCATAAGGTGCATATTGTGCCTTAACATGCCCCCATTGTTTCACCAATATTTGCCAAAGTATGTGGTAAAAAATGATTTTGTGTGTTTTTTACACATGGATTGCATTTTTGATGGGCATTTTGAATATTTCACATGTGCCACTAAGTTCAACCCCCCCCAAATTATGCTCAGCTAAGTCTTCTAATTAAAAGAAAAACTGTGAGTTTTCACAGTATATTTTGCAAACCTTATGTGTGCTACCTGTGTATAATACTTCATATGTTGCTCAGCTATGTCGGCTGAGTACAGCAATACCCCCGTATGTACCTTTGCCAGGTATATGTGGATGTTGAAGGGGCACATTTGAGACGCAGCCATTCAGTTTTTTTCTAACTTTGAAGTTTTACCCTGTGTCCATGTTCCAATTTGGAGTAGTTTAGATGGTTGGTTATTGAAACTTCCCCACAAACACATACTATTTATTAAGGAATACACCCTGGGGTAATTCAAAAGGCATATTTTGAATCTTGGCATTTTTTTCTCTAGTTTGTTCCAGGTGTAGTGGTAATGGGCGTTTTTACATTTTTTTTTGCTTTTTTAAACTTGTTTAACTTTTTAAAACTAGATTTTAAACTTTTGTTTTGCTTATTATTTTTTTTTAACAGATTTAACATTTTTCTAAGCTTTTTTTACAGTTAACCCCTAAGTAACAGTAAGCAGCACTAACAGTAAATTCCCCATTTTCCCATAACTCCCACCCACCCCAGCTAGCAAAATATATAATTATAAAATATTTAAATTAGTTAATTAAATAAATTGAACCCCTGAGGGTTAAAAAATAAATAAAAGTTAATCATCAGGGGTTAAAAAAAAAATTAGATCACAGTATAATATTATGATCTGTATTTTGATCACTGTAGACAATGATTGACTGGCAGGGAAGGGGTTAATTTTTATTTGGACTGGCTAAAGGGGGGTGGTTTTTTTATTTTTTACTTAAACATTATTAAAACTTTTTTAACTTAATTTTGAACTTTTTAAAGCTTATTTTAAAACTTTAACGTTAACCCCTAGTTAGCCTAACACCAAATCCCCCAATTCCCCACTAACCTGCAGCCACCCCAGCTAGCTAAATTTATCATTTTAAAATACTTTAATAAAATAAATTCAACCCCTGAGGGTTAAAAAAAAAAAGAATTAACCCTCAGGGGTTAAAAAAAATAATAATCAGATCACAGTAAAATGTAATCCCTGCCAATTGATCACTGTAGTCAGTGATCAATTGGCAGGGAAGGTGTTAATTTTTTATTAAAATGGGTAAAGGGGGGTGGGATTTTAAATTAACTTTTATTTATTTTTTCTAACAGGGACAAGATCAGTGATGATCCGTCTCCCTGCACTTCACACAGAACCAGGAAGTGCAGGGAGGCGGAAGGTGAGTATACTGAGCACATGTGCTGGGGCAGCCTGATTAGGTGCTCCCGGTCTGCCTCTAATACAGAGGCAGACTGGAGCACCATTAACCCCGCGATCGCGCCGATCTAGGGTTAATTTTACCGTGTGACGGACAAGGTCCGTCACCCGTCGTTAAGGATATCCCCAGGATGACGGACATTGTCCGTCACCCGTCCTGAAGGGGTTAACAAATGTCCTTGGTTTTAAACAAAATATGTTTATTTTTATTTCTTTATTTTATTTAGCTGTGTTACTATCTTTTTATGACATCTGCATTTTTCTCTACAGCTTCACAGAGGGTCAACTGTCACACAGGGAGTAAAACAAAGGGGGAGGAAAGGGGGCTGCCTAATCTTACACACAGACTCATTAACCCGTTACCCTATTGTTTGTCTCCTCATCTGATCTAAAAATACTCCAATACCCACTACTCTTGAGAGGCATTAATGGCTATAGTATGCAAAGCCCAAACACAGAAAACCGGTATTAACCTCTTGAGGACTGAGCCAAATATACAAGTTGTGAGCAAAACAAAATGTAAACAAACCATAGAATTTGACTACATGTCTATTCAACAATAATTTACCTCTTTCATACTAAGTGCACCCACACTTATTATATATAATTTTGTTCAGGGGAAACAGAGCATTTATTTCATATCAAACATTCATATATGGAACTCCATTTTATATGAATAAAATCTAAAACTCTTCAAAAAAAAAAATTAAAGGACCACTCTAGGCATCCAGACCACTTCAGCTTAATGAAGTGGTCTGGGTGCCAGGTCCTTCTAGGGTTAACCCATTTTTTTATAAACATAGCAGTTTCAGAGAAACTGCTATGTTTATTAATGGGTTAAGCCTTCCCCCAAAGCCTCTAGTGGCTGTCTCATTGACAACCACTAGAGGCGCTTGCGTGCTTCTCACTGTGATTTTCACAGTGAGAGCACGCCAGCGTCCATAGGAAAGCATTGTAAATGCTTCCCTATGCGACCGGCTGAATGCGCGCGCAGCTCTTGCCGCGCGTGCGCATTCAGCCGACGGGGCGGAACGGAGGAGGAGAGAAGGAGGAGAGCTCTCCGCCCAGCACTGGAAAAAACGTAAGTTTTTACCCCTTTCCCCCTTCCAGAGCAGGGCGGGAGGGGGACCCTGAGGGTGGGGGCACCCTCAGGGCACTATAGTGCCAGGAAAACGAGTATGTTTTCCTGGCACTATAGTGGTCCTTTAAGGAATTTTGTTATTTTCCAATTTCTGCATGGCAATTTAACTGTTACTGTCAGAATACTGTTCAGTTTTCCTGAAATAAAACATACATATTTCTATTCAGAAATGTCTCACGAGTAAAACAGTACCCCCCATGTATAGGTTTTATGGAGTTTTGGAAAGTTACAGGGTCAAATATACGGCTTGTCCATTATTTTTGTTTTCTACATAGAAATTTGACAGATTGGTTTGCTGGGCCTAGGTTGCCTTTGAGACCGAATGGCAGCCCAGAAATTAAAATTAACCCCATCATGGCATACCATGTGAAAAAGTAGACATCCCAGGGTATTCAAAATGGGGTATGCCCAGTCTTTTGTAGCAGCCACTTGGGCACACACCCTAGCCAAAGTTAGTGTTCAGATTTTATTTTTTTTGCATTTTTCACATAAAAACTGTACTTTCACTGATAATATTATTGTTAGTATATCGTTTACTGTACTGAAACACTACTAGTTCTGTTCAGTGATGTCTCGCGAGCAACACAGTACCCCCAATGTATAGGTTTTATGGGGTTTTGAAAAGTTACAGGATCATATATATATATGGCTTATCCATTTATGCTTTTTCACATTGAAATTTGTCAGATTAGGTGGCTGTGTCTAGGTTGCCTTTGAGACCGTATGGCACAGAGGCGGGCTTGGCTGGGGGGCAGGGAGGCAATTGCCCCCCAGGCCACCCTAAATCCTTTTAAGACAGGCCGCTGCAGGGCCAGCCCTTTAAATGCTGCAGCTGCCTGAGCTGGAGGGATAGGAAGGTGCACACTGAGTGTGTACTTCCTGTCAGTCCGGCCGGGTACAGGAAACAGAAAACACACCTTGCATCCCTTATGCATACAAACACAGATTCACACAATGCATTCCTTACACACAACCAGAAACACATAATACATCCCTTATAAACAAATACACAGTGCTTCCACTACACACAAACACTCTGCATCACCTATACAAACTGGTATCCCTATACACTACATACCATAAACACACATATTAGATCCTCTACAATAACACAACACATCCCCTACACACTCCACTCCCTGTGAGCAAACTCATGGGTGGGTGGAACATATAAGTGGACTTATGAGTGGGCCTTATGGGCCTACTCACCATCAGGCCCTGGGGCCCAGACCTTGAGCTGTGTAAGGGGCCCCCAAAAAATGGAGCTGCTTCCAATTCTCCCAGAACATTGAATTTTGTGACCACAGTTGCAAACAGCCTCCAGATATCCTGTTCTACACAAGACCAGTGGAGCCAAACTGCAGCCCATCATCATCCACATCTGGTGGTAAGTAGGCAATCTAGTATATTATTAGTGACACTAATCTATAATTTACCTCACATTAAAGGGACACTATAGCTTAATGAAGTGGTTCTGGTGTCTATAGCCTTTTTAATGTAAACACACACTGTGTGCAGCACTGGCGTTCGTTCATATGGCAGATCATATGGGTGGGGCATTGTGATGTCACATGGGGGGCGGCAAATTTTTCAAAATCCTTGCACTGGCTCTGATCCTAGGCAGGTGCACCCACAGGAGGGGAGTGCACTGATTGCACTGCACTCTCCTCCTGCCCATCTTTACCGCAGTGCAAGTGCCCTCTGCCCCTAATTTACAGTGGCTCACACTCACAACAAGCAGTGCCTGGAGCCATTTGCAGAGACGGGAACAAAGAGGTTCTGCGGCATCTGGCCGTCCTGCAAGCATTACATTAAACAGCTGTTCCCCATGCAGCCACAGGTGGCGATGTGCTGGGAGAATGTGATTACTCTTCACTTCCTCCCAACCTACAGAGCAGTGCATGGGAGAGAGAGAGGAGGAGGCATGATTTAATCTTACAACAAATCCACTAAGCAAATCTTTATAAATTGGGGGGATCAGCTCTGTTTCCACAGTTTATTGGAGTTTACTCTGAGGTCTGTATTAATATTGAGGGATTTCTAAGTAGTAACATCAGTGTGTGTCAGCATGGCCAGCCGTTGGGGTGTGCACGCTGTGCGGTCACGCAGGGTGCCATGACAACAAAGGCGCCCAACACAGCTCACAAGCTGGGTACACCAGCATATTCAATTTAAACAATTCGCTGGTGGTCCACTGGTGCGCACCAGCAGTAGGTGCAGTCCGATCATATGCTCTCCCTCGTGGTTCCGGCGCTTAGTTAGTGAGTAAGAGCACAGGCTCAGAGATTCTCAGCCTGCACTCTGACAACATTGAAAGTCAGAGCCGTGAAGGAGCACATATGGCAAAGAGCTACTGATTAGCATAACATCAATAACCATTATAAAACCAGGAAAAGGTGGGCGTGGATGGTGAACTGATTTGGTGGTGCAATGGGCCACTTGACTTGTTTTGCCCCCCAGACCTAAGGCTGCCAGCCCTCCCCTGGTATGGCAGCCAAGAAATGAAAATTACCCCCATCATGGCATACCATTTGAAAAAGTAGACATCCTAGGGTATTCAAAATGGGGTATGCCCAGTCTTTTGTAGTAGCCACTTGGGCACAAACCCTAGCCAAAGTTAGTGTTTGGTTTTTTTTGTGGCATTTTTCACATAAAAACTGTACTTTTACTGATAATATTATTGTCAGTATATAGTTTACTGCCCTGAAACATTCCTAGTTCTGTTCAGTGATGTCTCACGAGTGCCACGGTACCCCCCATGTATAGGTTTTATAAGGTTTTGGAAAGTTACAGGGTCATATATACGGTTTATCCATTTATGCTTTTTCACATTGAAATTTGTCAGCTTAGTTTGCTGTGTCTAGGCTGCCTTTGAGACCATATGGCAGCCAAGAAATGAAAACTACCCCCACCATGGCTTACCATTTGAAAAAGTAGACATCCCAGGGTATTCAAAATGGGATATGCCCAGTCTTTTGTAGTAGCCACTTGGGCACAAACCCTAGCCAAAGTTAGTGTTCATTTTTTGTTGTTGCATTTTTCATATAAAAACTGTACTTTCACTAGTAATATTATTGTTAGTCTATAGTTTACTGCCCTGAAACACTCCTAGTTCTGTTCAGTGATGTCTCACAAGTGCCACGGTAACCCCCATGTATAGGTTTTATGGGGTTTTGGAAAGTTACAGGGTCATATATACGGCTTATCCATTTATGCTTTTTTTACATTTAAATTTGGCAAAGTGATTTTCTGGGCCTATCTTGCCTTTGAGAGAGCATGGCAGCCTGAGTAATAACATTTCCACGATTATGGCATACCATTTTCAAATGTAGGCAACCCAGAGTATAACAAATGGCATAATTTGAGATGTTTGGTCTTACCACTTTATCAGAAATGAAGGGCCCACATAGCGGTTATAGTTTTATTTGTGCTTTTTCACACACATGAACTCACTTTTCACAGGACATTTCATATTCCTGATATAAGTTATTACAACAAAGCCTCACTATTTTTATTTAACATTGTCTCCTGAATATAACAGTACCCCATGTACCAGATTTTCTGTTTTTTGGGGGAAGTCACATGGACAAAAATATTAGATGCCCTTTCAGCTTGTAAGTTTGTCAAAGTGATTTTCTGGGCCTATGTGGCTTTTCAGAGAGTATGGCAGCCTGGGTAATAACATTATGGCATACCATTTTCAAGAGTAGGTAACCCAGAGTATAACAAATGGCATAATTTGAGATGTTTGGTCTAGCCATTTTAACAGAAATGCTGGGCCCATGTAGCGATTTCTTTTATTTTTGTCTTTTTAATCAGATAAATTCAGCTCTGTATGGTAGACTTTGAAACAGTCTGTTATGCAGAGGGTGGGTAGAGATGGGCAGGTTGGGCAATAATAACTGGAGTCCTTTCAGACTCCTTTCTTGTAGCAAACACAGCACTTTCTTTGGGGAGCTTTTTTACTGGGGGTGGGTGGGATTCAGGAAGGGAAGTGTTTGCAACAAAGTCTTCGGAGATCTCCTGTTTCCAAAGTGGGATTGGGGGGCTGGGTAAATAACATACGGGACAAAAGGTACAGCGTGAATTCGAGGAAAGGGCAGGGCTTTTTTATAGAGGACGCAGGCATTGTAAATTGCAATCTGGCTCACGCAGATTGCAATTTTCTTGTACCAGGTCCTAGTTTTTCGGTTCACCCGATAGGGCTGTATGCATTGGTCAGCCAAGTCTACTCCCCCCATAAACTTGCTGTAGTCTACAATGCACTTCGGCTTTTCCAGATGCTCAATGCTACTTCTCACAGACACTGGCACTGTACTTTCGTCATGCATCGTAGACAGCATGTATACATCCTTCCTATCTCTGAAGCGAAGGGCAAGCAACTCATCCAAGCAACTCATCCTGGTGAAGAGCTGAAGAGGAACCTCTACTGCTTCTGCCTCTTGCCAGGGTTTGGGGGAAACCCCTGTGATTCTTCCTCACTGTGCCACAGGCTAGGGTTTCAAAGCAATATCAATTTTTAAATAATTGTATACTGGTATAATAATTGTCAACCCATAACCTATATCCCTTATTTAACAAGGGAAGGATTAGATCCCAAACAATCTTGCCACTTGTACCCACAGAATCAAGGCATCCTGGTGGGTCAAGATGGCTATCCTTCCCCTGGTAAATGCGAAACGCCCATGTGTAACCAGTACAGGATTTGCATAATTTATAAAATTTAACGCCATATCGGGACCGCTTAGATGGAATATATTGCTTAAATAGCAGTCGACCTTTAAATTTCATAAGGGACTCGTCAATTGAAATATCTTTATCGGGGACATAATTTTCAGAAAATTTGTCTGACAGGAATTGGCTAAAAGGCCGAATTTTATAGAGCCTGTCAAACAGTGGGTTCATTTCTAGAGGGACACAGTGAGTTATG